TCCCTCCCCCTCTATCCCTTCCCTTTCGGCCTCCCTCCTCTCCACTCCTGGCCCTGCCCTCCATCCCTCTCCCTTTCTCCTTCTTCCCCTGTCCCTCTATATCTTTTTCTCTGTCTTTCACTGTGTCTTCCCATAAAGTATTTACCATCTGCTATGTGAGGGGATGGCTTGGATACCTAAGGAGGCAGGAGTTGGTTTGATGGGTTCCAATAGCCCAGGCTAACAGAAGTTATGGTTCTGATTGTCTCAGACTTCTCTCTTGAGAGAAAGCCCATGCCTGTTAAGTCACAAGGCCAGGGGATACATTCAGGAATTCTCAGAATTCAAAGTCCTCTGAAAGAATTAAAAACTCAAAGAATTCCACTGTTAGCACTGTCTTCTTTCCAGTGCAATCTTTCATTTTTGTGTGAATGCTAACATATTAAGAAAGGCCAGATTTATGCCCCAGGGAAGACATTCCCCAATAAACTCTTCCCTCACTATGCTTCCGAAAGGCTGTGTGTAAAGCCTAATTTTGAATAGGGCCTAGTCTTGTTGAAAGTAAGAAATAAGTCGATTCTTTTATTAAGTAAGTGAGCTTTCTTTCCCCCATAATTTCTTCCTTAATGCTCAGTGTTATTTCACAGGGAGAATAATGTGTTTGTAAACGTGAGTTCTGGGTGGAAGAAAAGACATACCTACATTCAACTTCTGGGTTGATCAACATTTAGACATGACCTAAAAAGGTGTAGGCAAGAGTGTTGGGGACAGTGGGTGACTGATAAAATTTTGATGATATGAATCATTGTGGGGAAGTTCCCACTGAAGTCATAAATAGAATAAATTGGAATGTTTTAACAGGAGTAATGGTCATTTCTGTCACATATGCAGATATTAGAGTCATCATACCCAATCCTGTCTAGTAGATTTTTTTTAATGTTTATTTATTTTTGAGACAGAGAGAGACAGAGTGTGAGCGGGGGACGGGCAGAGAGAGAGGGAGACACAGAATCCTAAGTAGGCTCCAGGCTCTGAGCTGTCAGCACAGAGCCTGATGCGGGGCTTGAACTCAGTAACCTCGAGATCATGACCTGAGCCAAAGTCGGATGCTTAACCGACTGAGCCACCCAGGTGCCCCATGTCTAGTAGATTTTTTGAAGGAATTACTACCACACACATTCAATATGTGATATTAAACTTACAAATAAATTGCTCATCTGTGTCTATAGTCTTCTAAAAGTACACATTCTAGAAAACAAGCAGTATAGATATTCTTTATTACTTATAAACACCAGAAATTTGCAAGATATCTCTTTTTTCTAATAGTCTAATGAATGGGGTGAGTGCAGTTTACATTACCACATATTCCAAATTAGAATAGTTATAAATAAATGGAATTTAGACTAAAGAGATTTTACCGTGGTAGACTCCATTTTCTTTAATATGTGGCTTAATATATTGAGTCAAAGTCAGTTCCTAGTATAGAATTAAGCCTCTTCAGTTGTCCGTGTATCATAATTTGTTTCTTCTGTTTCAAATAAGAATGCCATCCAGTACATAGAATCCATTCACCAGACATTCAGTCAATCACATTTTTGCAAGCGAGCCCAGTAGACTTAAGATGGGGTTTCTGCCCTTTAAAGGAAGAATCCCCAGAGCCATAATTAGAATAAAAGTATGTAGATACAATTGCAGAGATGCACATATTATGGACCGTATAAAGAGCTGTGGGTGCACAAAAGAAAGAGTGAGTAAAGACACAGAAGAACATCACCTGCTTTATTAGAATGCAGAAAGAGATATGGCCAGTCAGTGAGAGGATTACAGCTCAGAGCCTGCCTGGATAATCATAAAAGCAAGGTACGGAAGTTATAGGTGTAGATAAAGACAATGCAAAGAAAAGAAAATGAACTCCTTGGTGGGGAGAGGCCAGGCATGCAAAAAGGTGGGATTTGAGGAAGTGCCAGAAGGGCTTCTCTGAGAATCCAGTTCATCACCCTATTTATAAGTCTCCTTCAAGTGATGATTAGATAATTTGCCCATGAGGATCAATACAGAAATAGCAGTATTGGAAGTTTCTTTGCCAGAAGTTTCAGGGAGCGTGGTTACTAATTTAATTTTTGGGAAACCAGGATCCCTTTTTAAAATTTACTGGGCGGGGCAGGGGGTGGAAATATGTAGATTGAGGTACACAGGCTTTCCTGGAGACTCAGTCAAGCTGTTCAGGATGGCAGACCAGGGGCTAGTTCTGCCCATGAACTCCACATTGTGCAGATGGCCCTACCTCCACAGGAGCCCAGCCTCAGCAAATGTGGTGGGAGAGGATGGCAGACAGCAGAGGGTGCAGAAGATTGAGAGGGGTGGAGACAGACTCCCAAGGAAGAAACGTTTGCTCTTTTTCTTCCGAGTGGCCATTTTCATACACAGTTATGTTCAAGAATGTGCTGATGACAGAGTTATAGTCCAAGTTGAGCACCTGCCCCAGTGTCTAGTGTCCCTTACAAAGGCATGTTTCTAATTCCTCTTCATGATAGATATTATCAAAGCAGTGTATGCAAATCTATCGTTAGCAGGTGGTTCCTTACTTTAAAAATACTCCCTGTGTGCTAAACGCTGTTAAGAGCTTAACAGAAATCGCATGGCATCCTGTGAAGTAGGTGCTGTTACTCCATTTTATAGATCAGCAAACTGAGATTTAGGAGACAGGGTGGGGAGTTTTGCCAAGTCACCTGGCTAGTAAGTTCTCTAGTTGAGGCCTGAATCCAAGTCTTTCTGAGTCTAATGAACATGCTTTAACATTCTTCTGTATTGCCTTCAAAAAAACTGCTATGAAAAAATGGAAGAGAAAATGAAAGGCTTTACACAGCTGTCCTTTGGGCACTTGTTGGGCTGAGCACTGAGTGTTGAATGGAAACCAATTTGACAATAAATTATATTTAAAAAAATAAAATAAAAAATAATAATAAATGAAAAAATAAAAAATAAAAAATGCAAAAAAAGTCGTAAACTCCAGTCAGGCATTAAAAACATTTTTGTCCGTACACATTTTATGCATGTAGATTTTCTCATGCAATTTTTCAGTTAACAGACTCCTAGACTCTAGTCAACGACAGCCTGATAGAAGTCTCCCCTTTTTCCTTTGCCATTTACCAGCTCCTGAGGTTAGTCTGCTCCTGCAGGCAGCCGGCTGCCCTGTTTCCTCATAAGGATTATGTCAGACAGAAATGTGCAGATATTTGGTTTAGACACTCATATCTGATTCTCTTCTCTCCCCAGCATTATCTAGTCCCAGATCTCTTGTAAAGTGTTACGGGTTTCGAGAAGTCAATCTTTGGGACATACTCACACCAGGCTTACTCTAGTGTTTTTCTTTGATTCCTTCCTTAGCTAATCTCCCCTCAATCTGCCCTGCCTTTCGTACCACGACACTTTGGGGGCCTTGTTGCTCAGGACTTTTTGTTATGTAGGCAGAAGCAACAGCCTCAGGTCTGTAAGTTTCATTCCATAAACTAGCTCTAATTCTTGACAAGTTGTATTTCATGTCAGTATCAAGTCATGGCAGTGTTGACGTTGATGTTAGAAATGCACTCTGACACGGTCATACTTCCACCAAATGTCATCATGAGAAGTATCTTCTCACTTATAAGATGCATCACCTGGCAATGCTGACGAGAACACATAAATATCGACGGTTGTGTGACACCCGGTTGCTTTTACGTTGGATACCATTTCATACGCAGAGTCCTGACAAAGCAGGAATAGCACGTGTGCCCCGTGAGATCTGACATACAGTGCTGGTGTACAAACTATGGTACTGGAGTTTCAAGAGTGGAAGACGTTCTCAGAGACAGGAGGGTGAATTGCCTAGCTTTGGAAAATAAGAAAGTAGTAAGTCAGTGTAAGCCCTTCCACCAATGTTGAACCATCCCCGGGATGTTGTGTATTCATTCGATTAACAGTGTTTCTATAGTTTACCTGCTTGACACCCTGTTAAGAAGAATTACTTTTGAACGGTAACCGCTCTGAAAGTCTAAGGGCAATGCAGATTCGTCACAAGTTACCCAACATCGCAGGTGTGTTTCACATATAAAACCAATGAGTTGCAAGTAAGCTTAGATTTTTTTCTCTAGCCAAACTTTCTCACTTTATAGAACATAAAGTGAATTCCAGAAAGGTTAAATAATATACTCCGAGTCCACAGTTATACAAATAAAATAACATTATTAATTGTCTATCCCGTTACACACAAGCTGAAAGGTATACATGAATTTTTACAAATGGGGAAGACTTTTGGTATTTCCAGTAGACCTTTTCCTAATATCTAATTTATTGCCCACAAATATTCCTTCAAACTGGCTATGAGCCCAAAGATAACAATCTTTAACGATTTAGGAGGAAGATCGTACTCATTATTGTCCAGTATGAAATAAGTTGTAATGCTCTGGCTGCTGTCTGGGCTCAGTGAAACTGCCTCCCGGTGCCTCACTTGGGCTGTCACACACTGTGTCTTTACGACTGCGTGTCCTGCAGCTGATACCCGTGCCCACGGACTGGGATGTGATGCAGACTTCTTGCTCCTAAAAGCATTTCGCTTCCACTACATGTGCTTTAGATGATGGCAGAATGAGATGAGTCTATGCAAAGGTTGACTACGATTACGTATCATTTAAGAATGGTTTTTGAAAAGCCTATTAAAAGCATGAAGTGACTGGATTCTTGCGGGACGGTTTGCTACGTTACCAAAAAAAAGCATGACATGATTTGCCTCTGTAGTCTATACGTTCTCCCCTTTATAACCTACAGTCCTGTCCACTCTCAACTCAAGTCGCCAAGCCTAGGGTTCATAGCACAAGCACGCTATTGACGCCATCCTGGAATGCACTTGGCATTAGGACTTACTGCAACCGGCATACAGGAATGCGATAGTGGATGATATGTAGCATGATGTGTGATCTCTGACATTCCTTATAATTCTTCTGTTCTCATCTCCTTTTTTTTTCCTTTCTATTTCAATTACTTTGAGCAGCATCAAGAAAAAATTACCAATCCACCAAAATGAGTAAGTCCCCCGTGAAGCCATGAAATGCTTGCTCTACATGATGCCATTTCATGCTTCTACATCCTAAACTCTGACCATTTTCTCCTCCGGGAAAAATGTCAAGTTTAGGTGTCGATAGCTCTCATTACTGACTAATCACTAGAACCTGAATTGGAAAAGCTAACAAGACCTAGCTGAGTTTACAGTTTGTTTTTAGAAAGAGCTTAAAAAAAAAAAAAAAAAAAAAAGCGACCAGACGCTAACCACCCCACATTGCAAGGCCTGTGTACGTGCACTGATTTTCATTTTTGTTTATCCTCCTTTTACTTGCCCCTCACTCAAATCTCTCCTGGCGTTCTTTCCTCTCCTGACTCGGCTGCTCTCTGCCAACAGACTGGCCCACCCTGAAGGAAGCCTTCCAGACCTTGCCATGATGAATCTGACCGCCAGCCTGGAGAAGCCGGACTTGAAGAAGCTGGCTGAGTCTGGGGAGGACAAACCAGAGGAATGCCCTGAAAAGGCTGAGCTTGGGAAAGACAGCGAAGAAGAGGAGGAAGGGGAGGAAGAGGAGGAGGAAGAGACATCAGGTAACCCGCCCACTACCAGTAGCTGCTCAGAAAATCCTGGCTGACCGACTCAGTGAATGAAACTGACATGTGCCCGATGGATATATATTTGAAACAGTCTGAAATAAAAATTGGGGTGGGGTCTTTTTTGCGATTGTTACAACATTCCAGTTCTAGTTGCTCCCATCATTTCTGTGTGGTTCTGATTTAGAAGAAGAGAGCAGATGACTGGTTATCAACTACTGATCTGCCAGAGGTGATCCTGGCCAGAACCAGAGGGGTGTGGCTCTAACCTCTGTTCAGTAGAAAACCTGGGAAGGACATTTCCTACCGGCAGCAGAGGCAGGCAGCTGTGTAGAATTTCAGAAAGTTCTAGACAGGGCCTTTTCAAATGCATTCTCAAAAAAGCCAGGCTGGGACTTCTCCAGGGAACTGGTCATTGAGAACATATTTGTAATTCAGCCCTAATGTTTCAGGACCTGGGAACCAGTGAAGCACATAAGCAACAGGATGATTATCATTTGAAGCCAACTCCTAGAGGTGTTTCTCTTGTTGTTGTTATTTTAGGTTTTCTCCCTCCTTCTTCTTTAGGCTCTTTTTTCCTGTTTCTCTTCGTAGACTTGAAATAATGTTTAATAGGGCATGACGGAGATCTGGACCGCCGTGGTGATCAGGACGCCTTATCTGACAGCGAGCAGAGAACACGAGGCGCTTTACTCAGTTTAGCAGCTCCCAGACACTATGGGAGGAAAGATTGCATAGCCTTTGGGGTGGTGGCCTGGGGCATGACAGTGATGTGCTGCACTTGACTTTGCTGGTGTTCTGTGCTTTACGGGCTTAGAAAATGAAAAAGCACAAGGCAGAAGATCCCTCCCAAAGGCACACTCCCCCAAACCTGGTCCCTTTACTCCCTCATCTCAGAAGACCCCGAGAGATGCCCAGAACTGCCTTTTCCATATCTAAGCACTGGCTGTTCCTCAGGGTGAAGGAGCACCGAGCTCGGTGGGACCAAGAACCCAGGACTAAGATTTGCTGTCCTACTTCATGAAGGTTTTGAGCGTTACTAATAGGATCTCACTAAAGATTGGATTTCATTTTTCTGGCATCCCCCCACACACCTGCCCTCCACACCTCTAAAGTATGCTCAGTTATGACTGGAATCTTTGTATCGACTCTTATCTGAGTCACTTTGTAAATAGCCATTTTTCACGACGACGACTGAAACTTCACTTAAACTTTTCGGACCAAGTACAAGAACTGTTACAACCACCCCAGCCACGTGAAGAAGCTACTTAGACACGCTCAGGTCTTTATCTGCCTGGGCTCGTGAGCTTTTGTCTACACGTGTGGTGACGTGCTGATACCACAAAATGCTTCTGTCCTGACCTCCCTTTAGATGAACCAAGACAGCCCTTCTAGACAAAAGCATGACCCCAGTCTGCAAAATATTACTACTTGGCACAAGGTGGAAAGAGGGAAATGACTAATTTGCTTAAAAATTATTATTAGAATTCATCTGACCACATTTCATGAACTGGGACCGGGTCATTCAGACCCTTGGTGTTCATTCCCAATTTTGAGGAGGCTCGCTCTCCCAGGGCCACTGGTGAGCTTCAGCCAGGCTCTCTTTAAGCCCCGGGTTGGGGGGAGGTGGGGGTGGACGAGACTGGAACTTTTGGAAGCCTGGTTTTGGCAAGGAAGATGTCATTTAGAGGGAGCTCGGTTACTGAATATTCCCAAGAAACTAGGGAATTATATCTCTCAGCCTTAGAAGTAAATAAGGTCAACATTCCTCTTCACACTAACTTAATTAACAGGTGGATAAAAATCCTCGTCCCTCCGAGTCTCAGCATATGGTGTCTACATCATCATGATGTGGGATTCTTAGACCGCCCTTCCTCCAGATTTTGATATTCTTAGAATTCATCCGCTACTGTTATTTTGCAGTTTCTCATTCCAGTCTGCATAAGATATGCTTTAAATAATAATGCAAACAAAAAAGCCACCCACATTTTTTTATGCTCTTGGGTGAATTTAACTATTTTGCAGATTTAAGAAACAAATGGCATCTGGTGATTGACCGCCTCACCGTGCTCTTCTTAAAATTCCTGGAGTATTTTCACAAACTGCAGGTGTTCATGTGGTGGATTTTGGAGTTGCACATCATCAAAATTGTTTCATCGTACATCATCTGGGTCTCTGTGAAAGAGGCAAGTGAATGTTTGTTGTATCTTCAGGCCAAGCAGAACCCCAGTGGGTCAACATTTCCCGTTTCCAACTGTCCACGATTTTGTTTTAAGCATAATTCCCACTACCTTAGAACACCAAGGCTCTAAGAGGGCGCATACCCTTTGACATATGGAAAAATCAAAGGGCAGTTGCCCTGAGAGGTGGGAAGGATAGCAGGGCAGAAAGAGGCTCCTGGCTGAGTTCCTGATTGGCTTGTTCATGTCAGAAGGGTTACTTATTTTCATGTAGTCTTTGGTGGAACTGTGTGAGAGCAGGCTACTGTTCTGCAGAACCTGTGGAAATCTAGCTCCATAAACTGTGTGTGAGGAAAGCAAGAAGATTCCAGTTTACCAAGGAGTAAATTCAGCTTCCCAACTTTTTTTTTTAATTTTTTTCATGTTTATTCCTTGAGAGAGAAAGAGAGCATGAGCAGGGGAGGGGCAGGGAGAGGGAGACACAGAATCCGAAGCAGGCCCCAGGCTCTGAGCCGTCAGCACAGAGCCCAACACAGGGCTCACACTCATGAACCGTGAGATCATGACCTGAGCCGAAGTCTGACACTTAACTGACTGAGCCGCCCAGGAACCCCTCAGCTTCCCAAATTTAATAAAAAGTGTGGTAGAGTTCAGCTTGTTGATTATTGGGTGTTTTGTGACAAGACACAGTGTTTCAACATTGTACTGCAGTTCTGTTTTCTCATTTGGAAAGGGGAGAGGCATCATTCCGCCAACAAATCTATGATGCATACTGTGGAGAGATTAGCTCTCTTTCAGTTTGTTCAGCAGATAATTTCTGCATGTTTCTGATCTGCCTGGACTAGTTTTGAGTGACAATTCAAAAGAGTCTTTGCCCTATGAAAATTAAGTCAGGGAACTACTGCCTCTAATTTTTTTAAAAGTTAAATAATAACATCATACTACCTGAAATATTCATGAGAAGGTCACTAGGGATGCACCTTATTTGAGCTCCCCAGTCTAAACTAGACCTTTCTCCATTTTATACAAACCATCTGGAATGGATCTGTGATCACTGCCAAATGGGAACAACAACATAAACTGCTCTTCCTGTGAGAGATGTATAGAAGAGAGTGACATATACTCCACTGTTAACTAACAGTCTCCACATTAATTAGAACTAAAATCTCGCCTAATATGCATGTTCACTGAGGAAGAAGAAGTTTCAGCATTTTAACTGCAGAAGTAAATCTACCAAGTCAGACAGAATTTGAGGGTCAGAGTATTAAAACAGCAATGAAGGGACGCCTGGGTGGTTCGAGAGCATCTGACTCTTGATTGTAGCTCAGGTCATGATCTCACAGTTTGGGAGTTCGAGCCCCGCATCGGACTCTGTGCTGACAGCACAGAGCCTGCTTGGGATCCTGTCTCCCTCTCTCTCTCCCCCTGCCCCCCTCGCCGTCTAGTTCTCTCTCCAAATAAGTAAAAATAAACTTAAAAAAATAGAGAGCAATGAAGAAGGGCAAGAGAAGGCATTTGCCTAAAATCCACAAAGGCTGTTACTGAATTAACCAAATCTGATGCACAGATATCTTCTGATGGCATGAGAAGTTGTTGCACAGAAGACAATATTATGATGGGCCTGGGCGTTAAATGAAAGAAATTAGGGCACAGAAAATCCACTGTCTGAAATCCATCCTACAGAGTTCAGACAGAGAAATAAAAGAGTTAAATGATCCCACGTTCTTACAAATCCCAAATGTGTTTGTTAAAACCATCTTAATGAATCCCAAGAATGCCCTGTTAATAGACTGTCAAGTAGATAAAGCAACATGATCTGTTCACCCTGTTACACCATTAGGAAAATGGCCTTTGATAGCACATGACATTTCCTTCTCTAGGATCCATACATTGTGCACACTTCCAGGATTGTCCTTCCTAATTCCACCTCTTTCACCTGTAAGTTTAAAACACATCGGGGCACCTGGGTGGTTCAGTCAGTTAAGTGTCCGACTTCGGCTCGGGTCATGATCCTGCAGTCCATGAGTTGGAGTCTGACGTCGGGCTCTGTGCTGTCAGCTCAGAGCCTGGAGCCTGCTTCGGATTCTGTGCCTCCCTCTCTCTCTGCCCCTCCCCCACTCACACTCTGTGTCTCTCTCTCTCTATCTCAAAGGTAAATAAACATTTTAAAAAATAAAATAAAAAATAAAACACATCAGAGGCTCCTGGATCAGAGAAATTCTGCCCCCACTCCTACTAGCATCTGCCAGAGACCCCTTGTTGTGAGATGGTTAGCCCCCAAGTATATCAGCCCAGCTTCACCTGCTGTCATCCCACCCACATGAGGGGTTTCCGGCCCCAAAGGGTGAGTTCCTGCATGAGCCTTGGATGTCACGAGGTCTACCCTGTCTGCACGCTGACTTTGGTCTCTTGGCTCCCTTCATTGCTGATGAGTATTGAGGTCACTGGAATATCAAGGATCAGAACATGTGGGGTGGAATCATAAAACACACTTTATTTTGGACCTCTGCTGTCCCTTTAAAATGTATTGTACAGAGAAAGTTTTCTCCATGCCCCTGAATGCTAAATGCTGTCTGATCATTCCTAGGTAACACAAAGTACTATAGTTACCTCAGGTAGCAAACAGAATCTCACTTCATTAATTAGACTTGTCCAGCCACAGAAAAGAAGCAAACTCTCATCTCTCTCTCTCTCTTTTTTTTTTTTTTTGCATGAAGGTGGAGTGTTCCTATTTTTTATTTTTTTAAAGCTTTTGTTTAAATTCCAGCTAGTTAGCATACGATGTATGTGCAATATAGTGATTCAACCATTCCAGACAACACCCGGTGCTTTTCACAACAAGTGCAGTCCTTAATCCCCATCACTTATTTCATCCACCTCCCCCCTACCCCATCCCCTCTGGTAACCATCAGTCTGTTCTCCATAGTTAAGAGTGTGTTTCTTGGTTTGCCTCTCTTTCTCCTTTTTCCCCCTTTACTCATTTGTTTTCTTAAACTCCACACATGGGTAAAATCATATGGCATTCATCTTCCTCTGACTTATTTCACTTAGCAGAATACTCACTAGCTCAATCCACGTCACTGCAAATAGCAAGATTTCACTTTTTTATGGCTGAGTAATATTCCAGTGTGTGTGTGTGTGTGTGTGTGTGTGTGTGTGTGTATGTGTGTGTACATATATACATATGTATCCATTCATCAGTCATTGGATAGATACTTGGCCTGTTTCTATAATTAAGCTATTGTAGATAACGCTGTTATAAACACCGTGGCGCATGTATCCCTTTGAATTAGTGTTTTTGTATTCTTTGGGTAAATAGCTAGTAGTGCAATTGCTGGCTCCTAGAGTAGTTATCTTTTCAACTTCTTGAGGAATTTCCATACCATTGTCCACAATGGCTGCACCGGTTTGCATTCCCACCAACAGTGCAAGAGGGTTCCCCTTTCTCCACATCCTTGCCAGGTAGAAGCAAATCCTTTTCTAGTGGCTTCTTTCTTTCTCACACATACCTCCCCTCACTGCCTTCCTCCTTACCCCCACTTCCAGTGAACTAACTTCCATTACGTGACCTCCCGGGCTGAACCACAGCATCAGGCAGGAATGGTGGTGTGCTATCGTAGGACGGCCTCACACTGAGCTGGAGGGGATCAAATCTTCCCTTTCTCTCATGGGGCTCTTCTACCTCCTGGTTTCCCAGCATCCTCTCCTTCCAGACACTTTCCATTGGAGTCTCGTCACCCGTGCGGCCAGTGCCCCTGAGCGGGACTTAGAATAGCTCTGGGCACTCTCTCTTTCTCTGTCTCTCTCACGATTCAGGTCCAAAGGCAGCACTCACACTGCTAGTGTATGTGGGTCCCCATGAGGCAACTCCTGTGCCTACTCACCAAATCCCTGGCAGCCGGATTTCCTGGCTGAAGTTGGACATCAGTGTCCAGACCGCAGAGTACATGCATCAGCGTCTCTGCGTGGTGCTGCTTGGAGCTCCTTGCTCGCTTGGGGTTTGGGTGAAGAATGTAGCGTCCCTTCCTTCCCACCCCATCACCTCATAAGGGGGGGACTGACAGAAGCACCTCATACAAAGAAATTTCTTCACACTCTGTCCTGTCACCTTCACCATCTTGACCCATCTGTACCCTCTCAGAGTGCCTTAAAGACCTCTAAACGGTTTTCCATCAACGGTTTTGATTTGAAATGTCTACATGGCTGGCTAATACTTCATTTTGGAATCTTTTGCTTCCATCCATTCTAACTTGGTGCCTCATGTGGCTTTGACTGAAGTCTTTCTATACTGAGTACAGTTGAGGAAGAAAGACAACCATTGATTCTCGTAAGGAGCTGCATGCCAATCCAGACTATGATGTGTCTAAATCTGATCTGATTATAACAGAGGCAAGTGTATGGGGATTCTCATGGTGGGGGAATGGGCAGGAGGGGAACCATGTTGCACAGTTCCGGGGGCAGTGTTCACCTGCGAACAGCAACCCCCCAACGTTGTGCACCTCTGAGGTGTCGATTTATACCTGCAGGGGCCTCTTCTGCTTTGAAGGCTTGGCTTATCCTCAGCCAAAGAAGCCCATCAGCAATGACATTTGCTACATATATTTTCCATTTGTAGCTTATTGATTTTGATCAGCGCAAAAGATACTCTTTCTCAAACACTGCTAATCAGTAAATGGCAAAATGAGAACAAAGTCAACAACCCCAGTGAAGTCTTCATCCTTATCTAAGGTCATCAGCAAGGCCACTTGTTTTCACAAACTTTCGGGGTCATTTCTCAGGTCATTTTGGAATCAAACATTAAACCTTTCCAAGGCTATCATCATGGGCATCTGAGGAAGAAGAGGCCATGAGAAAGAATTTGTTGCAGAGGCCTTTCTTTTATTTTATTTTTTTAAGTTTACTTATTTATTTTGAGAGACAGAGACAGAGAGAGTGAGCAGGGAGAAGGGCAAAGCAAGAGGAGAGAGAGAATCCCAAGCAGCCTCTATGCTGTCAGTACACAGCCGGACACGGGGACGCGGGACTAGAAATCATGAACGGGGAGATCGTGACCTGAGCCAAAACCAAGAGTTGGATGCTTAACTGACTGAGCCACCCAGGCGCCCCAACAGAGGCCTTTCTTTTACATCACCTCCTCTTACCAGAGCAACACCACATAGGAAGGACCTAGATTTTAAATATATATAACACTGTCTTCTTTTTGTATGTGCAACTACATTCCTAGAAAGCTCTGAGAGATCAGGTTATTCTTTGAGGAAGGGGCCACACCTTATTTTAGTACCCTGAACAGCTCCTCCAGAGGCTGGCCAGTTGTGGAAGCTCAATAAATGTTTACTGACTGAAGGAAATAAATAAAACCTTGAAAGCTTGAGATTGTCCCCAGATGTCAGTTGATGTTTCATTATGATTCTCACTCTCACTCACCATTCATTTAGCCTTTGTTATGTACTTAAATTAAATTACAATAAGCTGAATGCTTATACTGTGCTAGACGTTGGCACAAAAGTATGAAAGACACATCTCTTGTCTCTGCTCGCAGTCTGATGGTCATGGCTGGCAAATGAAGCCAAAGTCACATTAACGGCCAGATTAGAGGGGCCCCCAGGAGGCTGTGAGTGCAAGGGAAGGGTGTCATGCAAGGGTGTGTCGCTGTGAAAGTGATCACCAAAGCTGCAGGTGCTCTGAGGGAGGAGGCCACCTGGGCCAACACACGGCTGGGGAACCACGGTTTTCAGGGACCTTTCTTTCAAGGCAGTGGCCTCAAGCCTTACAAATTTATATTCAGAGAAAATGGCGATTTGTGGAAAAACATTTTGTGAGGAAGGCTTGAGGCATAAAATTACTTTCCCAAGGTACTTGATAATAAGAATCACCTGGATACTTGTTAGGTACAAGGATGACCCAGCTCTTTCCCTAGAAATTCTGGTTCATCAGATATTGGTTGGGTTCCAGGTATTTGTCTTTGTTTTTTGCTTTTTAAAGGACATTTCACGAGATTCCTACCATCAGGGAAAGGATGAAACCGTTGTCAACCATGATTGTATTGAACAAAGTATGGTCCTTCTCCGAGTCCCTGTTGTCCCACCTCACAGATGCTGTTCAGTCCTCATTTTCCTGATTCTCTGTGACATTGGATATTGACAATCATTTCCTTGTCCTTGAAGCGCTTTTGTCATCTTCCAAAACAGCACACTTCTGTGGCCTCCCTTCTGCCTCATTCGTGGCCTCCTTCTCTTCCCACCAATTCCTCTCTTCCTTAGGTTTCATCTGCAGCCCCCTTTTCTGATTCTAGACCCCCTGTGGGTGGTCTCATGAGCTCCTGTGGTTCACTTGCTAATTACGTGCGAGAATTATAAATCTGTGCCTTCATCCTGTCCATTCTTTGAATTCCAGGCCCGTTTCTCAAAGTGACAGCTGGACATGACCTTATCCCTGAATGTCCCCAAAGCACCTTCAACTAAATATGTCTAAAACTGAGTCCCCTACCTCCACAGCAGTTTCCTATTAGATTACTCTACCACATGTCCAACCCTGTTCCAATCTTTTCTCCTGCCAGTATGTATTCCATCATGCAGCCAGAACCTCTTACCAGTGTATAAATATGATCCTGTTAATCCTCAACTCAAAAACCTTCACCAGCTCTCCTGTCCTCACAAACATGAGATATAGGACCCCCGTGATCTGGCCCTAGAGCACTTCGCCATTTTCTTTCCCAAACACCCTAGCCTACCTAGGTGGATTCCAAAGCCTTCTACAGGGACCCTGATCACAGTCCTCTCCTAGTGAGCTTCTTGCGTCACCAAGGACATCCACTCCATGCTCGCTTTCTCCAGAAGGCCCCATCCCTACAGTTCCTCTGCCTGGCTAACTCCTATTTGTACCTCTGGCCTCAGTTTAGATTGAATGCCCTTGAGCAATCTTCCCTAATCCCTGACTAGCCATTCAGCCCTGTGCTCCCGTACAGCCAGCATCAGCCCAGGCAGATATCCCCTCCACCATATTGTCATGAGCCCTTTATTCAGTTCTATTCTGCACTGCCTCATATGTTTCTTGAGGCCAGGGATCCACACAGGATATGATACTTTGAACCTAATTAAGACTTAATAAAATAGATCTTTTCTTCTCTTTCTCTAACACTCAAAAGATGAAGAGTTGTATGTAAATTCATTGTGCTGTTTTTATACTCAGTGCCTTAAATACATAATAAAAGGAATAATGAAGAGCCTTAATGTCATAGTAGCTTTACTAGGCTTACAGAATTAATTGAGGAGGAAAGGATGTTTTTTAACATCCCAGTTAACATGACACTTGCCGATGACTGAGGATGAGTCACTTAGCCATCAAAGTATTTTGTTAAAATGTAACATTTGTTGTGTTTGTGAGTGTTGTATACTTCACAGGGCAATATTTCTTTCCTCCTCAATTAATTCTGTAAGGCAGTTCTTACCACCCTAATATTTCAGCCCTTAATTCCCAGAGAGGTCCCTTGCCTTGGACAGTGACAAATAATTAAGTAGAAAAGTAGTAGCTAACAAATCACAGAATTAAATACTGTCCTGGAATCTCCACACTTCTGTTCTTTAGTTTTATAGACCAAACAGGCATCCATGTTTTTGATAGCCCATAGTGTGCTTAGCCCTTTGTACCTGTTGAATTTTATCAATTGAGCACATGCTGCTAATGTTAATTAATTCATGCCGATAATATTGAATGTCCTTAGGACATTACTTTAACAATATTAAGATATTATTTTAATCATTATTTTAATCACATGAGTGTTTTCCATGGATGAGTAAGATGGCTGTGCTTCCATATTGTTCAGCGAACCATTGGCTATGGAGAACAGTTGGAAATGAGTGGACATACCACCTGATTGATAAACATACATGGAGTCTACACCCAAGCTGCAGTCACTGCCTTCCCTCTTTACACCTGCCCCCTCCCCCCACAAGATCATATCTCAGTAGCGGCCCTGTCATCTTCTCAAGGCTCTGGCTCCCAAGCCAGAAACCTGGGAGGCATTCTTATGGCTCCTCCTTTACCCCACCCATCACCACCTCCAAGCCAACCAGCCAACAACTCCAGCTAGTTTTATGACCCATCTCAAATCTGTGACTCATCCCCGTCTCTGCTCCATTGCCCTAGTTTGGGCTCTGGTCATGCTCTCCTGGCAGCACATGTAAGCTGGTCTCCTCACCTCTCATTGAAGGTGATGTACCTCCATTCTTCAGTCATACTTATTTCAACAAATGAAAGTCTTTCCTGAAGATTTTCCCTGGGAAGTCTTGGCTCTCTATTTTCTTTTTGTTTGTTTTTTTTTATTTTTTTTTAATGTTTATTTATTATTGAGAGACAGAGAGAGACAGAGCATGGGCAGGGGAGAGGCAGAGAGAGGAGGAGACACAGAATCCAAAGCAGGCTCCAGGCTCCGAGCTGTCAGCGCAGAGCCGGATGCAGGGCTCGAAGTCACGAACCGCAAGATCATGAGCTGAGCCGAAGTCGGATGCCCAACCGACTGAGCCACCCGGGCACCCCTTGGCTCTCTATTTGCTGCACAAGGTGTTCATAGGCCATAGCATGGTTTAAAAAAGGTCCATAAAAGTTCAGCACCCAGCTGCATCTTGATCCTCATTTGCTGCTGCAGCTCACTGTGTTCAACTCCAGAATTTCCAGTTGTTTGTGATCATCTGTCCCTACCATGCCACCTCATGCTTTCCTGCCTTTTCTTATACATCCTTTACCTGGAATATGCTTCTCATCTTTCTTGGCCTGGCTGGCTTTATGCATCATTCAAGGCTTCGCTCAGGCAGTATCTCTTCCGGGAAATGTTCTGGAAGTTCCACATTGGCCAAGGACCCCCTCTGGGTATTCTCATAGAAGCCTGTTCCCATCTATAGTTGAGCCACTACTATGCTGTATTAACATATCCTGGTTATGTATCTTTCTGCCATATGAGATATCTCCACACATACGGCAACACCCTGTGTGTGCTGGGAACTCCATCAAACTCTGCTGAACTGAATAAGTCGAGTTGCCGCATTGTGTGGATGTTATGCCGTATTATGTATTTTTGTCCCCATTTCTGATTTTTATGTTTTCAGGTGTCACTGTTCAACTCTGTATTTTTGATTTCTTGGGCTTTTGCTCTGCCATACGCCAAGCTACGCCGTCTGGCTTCAAGTGTCTGCACCGTCTGGACGTGTGTGATCATCGTCTGCAAAATGTTGTACCAGCTGCAAACCATTAAGCCTGAGAACTTTTCTGTTAACTGTTCCTTGGTGAGCCTCAAAGAGAGGGGAATCTTCTTGACTGGGGCTTAGGGAAGCGAGGCGGCTATTGGGAAACCCATACCCCCAGGCACATTCTGCCTGGCCTTCCAGTCACCTCAGCCATGTTGGATATGTTCTGACCCTTCTTCTCTTCTCATGCTAAGTAAGATCTTCCCCCTGAAGTGGATCCTGTCCCCACCAGGTCCCTTTGCTGGAAGCTGAAGGAGAAATTTTTAACCCCATGTTCTCTTCTTTTCAGCCAAATGAAAACCAAACGAATATACCCATCCACCAGTTGAACAAGTCTCAACTCTACAGCACTCCTATTGACCCAACAGAATGGGTCGGCCTGAGGAAATCTTCCCCTCTGCTCGTCTACCTGAGGGTAAGGCCTCCGTCATGCTTCGCTTGTGCCTCTGCACAGTTAATGCCTGAGATCCTCTGCCTTGAGACCCCTGACATCACATTTGAGAGGAAGCTAACCTTTTTATGTGACATTTGGGGTCACCTTTAAAACAAATAACTAAGCATGGCCATCAGTGTTGCATTGTACCAAACAGAAATTGATCAAGTAGTTTGAAATTGATTGAATAAAGTATAACAAATGTAATATTCACTGGAATATGATGTAAAAGATTGTAGACTGATACTGTGAGATGTTGAACGATGTCCAAAATATATTCACTTTTAAAAAAAAAAAAGCAAATTTCAATACACCATATGCATCATATGATCTCTTCTAGATGCAAAGAAAAACATTAAGTAAAATATACCAAATTGTATATAGTGGTTATTTCTGAGAAGCAGCTGTAGATTTATGAGTAATTTTTGCTGTCTGAATTCAATTTCTCTATAATGTTTAATGAAAGACATGTATTATATTTAAAGGGAATACAATTTTAAACAACATATCTTTGAAAAGAAACTTGCAACCAGTCCTAACAAACAGAATGAAAGCAGTATATACTTTAGACTGTTCCTATTTTAGTTTGATTGGATGATCTGAGCAGTCTTCCTAACACACTGACAGAAACACTTTAAAAAAAAAAAGCATTTATACTCAATGCCTGGAATTTTTAAATGTACAAGGCATCCCGTTTTTGTGTGTAGCTTTCTCTTCTCATATGACAGACATCATGTGCAGCAATACAAATGCTCTCCACCATCAAGACCTATTATAAGGGTAAAAGGAGCTGGCATTTGAAAAGAGCAATCAGAACAGTGTCTGGCCACATAAGGTTCCATAAATGTTAACGACTTTCAGTATGATTCTGATTACTTTGTCATAAGGAGCATGCTTGTCAGTGTGCAGCTCTCGCTAGCCAGATCTCCGAGGTGTTAAAAGATTTCTGCTCCAGCTTTAGTGTGTTTCCCAGATGGCCCTGTACTGTTTTGCACCTTTACTTGCAAATGAGGTGGACCACCCTCCCCAGGCAACCGTTCACTGCATCTTCCTATGGGTAGTGTACTTTTCCAGAAACAGGTATGAGCATCACCAGCCCTCTGTCTAGAGTTTCTAGATCCTAGTATCACGGGAATCACCCTGATTGGCAGAATGCACGTAACTCCACCTCATTACCGTACCATAGGGAAAATGGACTTTGAACCCAAGGCTTTTATAGAGGGGGGATTTTATAAAGCATTGTTCTTCTAGACACCACGAATGGGAAAAGAAATAATATATTGTGGGGATTGTTTAAAATTACCCAGCTCAAGCGTTTGGCTTCGCACAATTGTGTTTTCTTGCTTTGTAGAATAATCTGCTGATGCTGGCCATTCTGGCCTTTGAGGTTACAATTTACCGCCATCAGGAATACTATCGAGGTCGAAACAACCTCATGGCCCCTGTGTCTAAAACCATCTTTCATGACATTACAAGACTCCATCTAGATGATGGACTTATTAATTGTGCCAAATATTTCATAAATTACTTCTTCTACAAGTTTGGTCTGGAGGTGAGTTTCTTTGCTGACATATATTTTTTTCTGTTTTCTGTGAAAATCCCAATCGCTGTTTTTGGCCAGTTGGCCACTGGAGCTTACTTGTACACCTCCATGCTGTGATGACTGTCTTCTTCAGATCAGCAGAAAGAGATTCTCCTAAAGGGTTAACCTGGCCTGGCTGAAAGTTTTCTGAGACCAAGGCCAGTGCTCCATACTCTGGAGCCATGAACTTGGCCCCTCTGGATCTCTGTAGCCTTACAGATGCATGAATACCACTTTGTCATTTTAACTGGTTTCTTTAATGTGTTATAAATCTTCGTGTTCTTTGCATTCTCTCTGAAAGTTTAACTTGAGCCAAAATGAACTGCTTTGACCTGAAAGGGTTGCGGTAGGTGCCTGTCTCTTAACGGAGCACATTTGGAACATGAAGAGATCATAGCTGTATTCTCTTCACAGTGTGAAGCGGTTCTTGCTAACAGTGATGTAGTCAGTCTTTCCCTTGGCAGTAATTTATATGCTATTTCAGTCTTCATGCTGAAAGACACCCCAAAGAGGCAAGACTTGGTGAACGTGTGTAGACAGACCTACCCTCAGGAATGCAGGTCTCTGAGGCACCTGCCCAGGGCTGACAGGTGACACCACTCCCCTTCTCTGTAAATCCGATTGTTTTTTGTTTTTTGGTTTGTTTTGTTTTTTTTTTTTCTTCTTTTCATCCTTATACAGACCTGTTTCCTAATGTCAGTTAATGTAATCGGTCAGCGAATGGATTTCTATGCCATGATTCACGCCTGCTGGCTAATCGCTGTCTTGTATCGGCGCAGAAGAAAGGCCATTGCTGAGATCTGGCCCAAGTACTGCTGCTTCCTGGCATGCATCATCACCTTCCAGTATTTCATCTGCATCGGCGTCCCTCCGGCTCCTTGCAGGGGTGAGTGGGCTCTCCCCAGGAGCCCGCCGCTCTTGTAATCAGCCCTTATGTTGTGGACAGTTGGGGCGAGGGCAGTGAAGAAGCGTATTGATTTTGCTCTTTACCACTTCCCTCCCTGCAGATTACCCATGGAGATTCAAGGGTGCTAGCTTCAACGACAACATCATAAAGTGGCTGTACTTCCCAGACTTCATCGTGAGGCCCAACCCCGTGTTTCTTGTCTGTAAGTGTTGCAGCCCCAGGGCCACGGAGCACTGGGGTTTGGTTGTCTCTTTGCGAAGTCTTCTTCATGTGTTATGCATTAGTGCCTCCCCCCTTCTTCCACTGCACTTTGCGATCATGTAAAAGCTTGTCTTGATGCATTAATATCACAGGTCCTTAATGGCTTCTACTTGCCCTATTACATTTGCAAAATTAATAAATAAACATTGGAAATACCATATCCACTTCCATGATTTTACCGCCCCCCCCACACACACCCAGTCTCCAGCGCCACCCCCCACCCCCGCACACACACCACCACTCCTCCGCCTTCCAGCAGGCAGACCGCAGAGGGAAGCCTTGTACTTTGTGAGGTGGGTTATCTCAGGCCGCTAGAACAGACAGACCAAAGCTGAAACTGAGAGGGTAGAAGCCAGGAAGATGCTACCCAAACTGCAGTTGCTCTGGTGCCGGGCTGTAGCCCCTGGCCCTTCCAAGGGCAGGCTGATGGTCCCAAGGTTGGAGCAGCCCCACCTAAGATGAGAGGGTCACCTACAGAGGGACCGTGCTGCCTACTCACACTCAGGTTGAACATAAAGTACGACGAAGCCACTGGTGCTGGAGGCTGCCAGCCTGTAACTGGCCATGATCTTCACCTGAGCTCCCTGCCTTCGTTGCCGTGTCCACTCCAGAAAGGGTCTGGTTATAAGTACAATGGGGATCCCATAGAGGATGAAGAAAACCGGAAGTACCTGCCTCTACCATAAGTAAAAAGATAAAGATGGAGAAGTGTACTTGAGTCGCCTCCTCAAAATTCTGGTGGGAGATAAATGCAAGTAAACATCATCCCATAAGCAAGTCCTAAGACTAGTGATTATCACCTGATACTCATACCCACCAATGTGTAAACAAAATCCAGGATCCCCTGTGTCTGTGCCCCCCTCTTGCATCTTCCATGGTGGGCAGGGTGGGACTTGGCCCCAAGATGAGAATCCAAGGAGAACTGCACATTGGGAACTTTGGGAATGCAACTCACTCAGGATCTGGGGAGCCACTCCTGCCGTGTGGGGACTGTTTCCCGTATCATGGAAACCCGGATGAGGAGAAGGTGACTCAGTGATCTCTCTGTCCTGCCAGATGACTTCATGCTGCTCCTGTGCGCCTCCTTGCAAAGGCAGATCTTTGAGGATGAAAACAAGGCTGCAGTGCGGATCATGGCAGGGGACAACGTGGAGATCTGCATGAACCTTGACGCGGCCTCCTTCAGCCAGCACAACCCCGTGCCAGATTTCATTCACTGCAGGTGAGGGTGGCTGTGCGGGTCGAAAGCCATTTTGCATGTGTGTTTCACTTGGAAGCCGTACCTCGGCTCACGGTCCCTTCTCCCCGTTCTTGGGAAACTGGGCACCTACCTGTACATGCCAAGCTCATAAATGGAGAGGGTTTGGCGATCGGGAGACTGGGTCTCAGAATTATGGTTCTGCTCCTGCTTTCTTCGGCACGACCCACACACGTCCCCTCTGTTTCCCTCTGCTTCGTCACACACAAACTGACTGGTGCCCATGATACTGCTTCCTGGTGCTCCAGCAGAGACCCCCTGCTCTTGTTCACTGTCCCCCATCTTTATCTTCTGTTCCAACTCCTCTTCATCCCTTGTCCATCCTGATCCCCTGTTCCTCAGCTTTGTCCCCTGTCCTTCTTCCCCTTCCTGGCCCCCCATAGCCAGTGGGCTCCATGGGAACCACAGTGTGTCCTGTGCTGGCACCCCCCCCCCATGTGCCATCTCCTCGGGTATGCGGCTTCCCCCTGGCAGCACCTCCTCTGTCCTCCACCATCCTCTGCAGTCTGGTGGCAGCCGATCTGGGCAGCCTGATAGTCCCCTCTGTAGAGTGTGTGTCTGAACCTGACGAAATTTCTCATTATGCATTCCTTCTGTGTTCTCTGGGTTCCCAAGTCCTCATGCTTTTTTCGCCTGATGCCACTTTGTGGCGGGCATCCCACTGCCTCCAGAGTCAACTCTCACAGTCCAGCTCCACCCCTGTGGTCGGGGATCTGACAGGCTGGCGGGATGTTCTATGCCTCCTCGCTAGCTGTGTGCCCTTGGACTTGCCGATCCTCACTAACTAGCATCCACCCTCCAGTTCTGCTGTCAGGGCCCCGGGGAGGCTATGCATCAGTGCCACATGGAAATCAGTCTTGTTCAAGCCAGCGTGCCTCTCCTCACCTGAGATTTGCTCCCTAGCTTCTGACTCCCAGAGTATCATGTTTGCATGGGATTGTTATTTGAAGAATCTAAACCTATTCCACCCCAAGTCTAAGATATAGGCAACTTAGGGCAAAGTCCACTTCTAACTTACTTTTCGTGTACATGCCTGCCCCCCATTTGTACCAATAGTCTTTGGCCTATAATGCATATAGCAATGTTAATAACAGCGGTAACTGAGTGCTTGCAGAGTGCCAGTCTCTGTTCCAGGTGCTTTACATGGATGAAGCCATCTGACCCTAACGACCACCTATGAGATACTGTTATTGCCATTTTGTGGATCAGGAATCTGAGCAAGGATCTGAAGCCAGTCAACCCAGCTCCAGTACCTGGGAGCTGAGGCCCTTCTGCGGCCTAAGAGCTCAGCATATACTGAACAAACCAATAAGTGAATTTGCTTTAAAATGATAAGCTATGTAGGGGCGCCTGGGTGGCTCAGTCGGTTAAGCATCTGACTGTTGATTATGGCTCAGGTCATGATCTCACAGTTTGTGAGTTCAGGCCCCGTGTCAGGCTCTGCACTGATTGGGATTCTCTCTCCCCCTCTCTCTCTCTGCCTCTCCCCAGCTTGTGCTCTCTCTCTCTCAAAAAAAATAATAAATATAAATAAATAAATAAATAAATAAATAAATAAATAAATAAATAAAATGATAAGATATGTAGACCTATAGATTCCTTCTAGGAATAATGTATCATACTAAACACGAATATAAGCTAGGACTTCCACTTTCTACCTCTTCTCTGTGATACTAAGGGGAAAAAAAATCAGTGCAGCTCATCTTTTTCCCTACTTTAAAGGGAAAAAGACATGTATTCAACTCTACAGTGCACTTATGAAAAGCCTAAAACGTCAACAAGATAACGCTTGTGCACCACTGATTTTTAAAGTGATATCTTTTCAAGATGGAATTATTTCAAGCTTTTAGTTCTGTTTCCCAATTAGGGCTGCCGGACAAGTACGCATCAGGGAGTGACCCATCACAAAGCACAGTCACGAGCTGGAAGCTAGCAAGCACTTGGCAGTCGGGGGCACCGTGGAGTCCCACACACCCTCTCCGTGGGCACGTGCTCGGCAGCTCTGGAAAGGAGCCTCTGAACCTCATGACATGCCACCATGGCTCATTCATGTGCTCCGGGACCCATGAGGCTCCTCTTCAGGGCACCTTGACTAGACTTTTCCATATGGCCCTCACAAGCTTGGTCTTAATGATACCTGAGACTAAAGCAGGTGAAGTGCTGAGGAGTGGAGGCCAGGACCCCTGGAGCAGGAATGAGAAGCAATTGCAGGCAAGGAAGGGAAATCCATGGAAAGCACATGGTGCACTACCACACACGTTTCTGTACACACACACGCTCACACCCAGAACGCCAGCAGGCTGATTCTGCTGACTCCACAGCGCACACACGTACACACACACACACACACCAGAAGGCCCTGTGGGCCTTCCCATGTTACCCCTCGTCTGAATCATTAATTTCACCTGCAGTGCTTCCGGGATCCTGACATATACTGACATGTTATTCATTCTCCTTTGGGGAGGAAGGTAAAGAAGAGTGAAATAGATCTGAGATGAACATTTCAGGAAACAATTTTAAAGGATTGAGTGTTTTAGTCCCCAAAGGGTCAAGTTCAAAAGGTTGCTTATGTGACAGTGTACTTTTAGGAACGATGTTCTCTAATGATGCTGGGTAGTGGAGTCCAGATTTTATCAAGAAATTACTTGTTAACTCTTATAAAATCACAGCTCATTCATCAAATAACTGACCCACAATTGGTTCTACTATGCATTTGCCTTTACCTGGGAAAAGAAACAGCTAAAGCAAAACATCCAAGTTAAAGAAGCTCTAATTAAACAAACAGATGGGTCTTGGCCTGTGGGTACCACTTCCCTCAGCTGTCAGTGACCCATACTCCGAAGCTCCCAGCAGCTGCCATTTATTGCACAGTGAGTGACCTACAGGCTGCCTCACCTTTCATCAGGAAGGTCACAGGGAAAATTACTCCCCAAAAAGGAATCTTGACGCCATCCAAAGACACAGTGTTGGACAGAGCCTACAAGCCTCACCATGACCGTGTATGCTTTGTGAGAATTACTACTCATCTGCAGGGACAGACTTCCATCTCCAGTAAGACCTTCGGGTAGAACACAGATTCGTTTTATCTATTAATGTCTAGTTCATTGAAAGTGAATCCATTCTTCCCTGTTCTCTTGCTTCAGAAGGCATCTGTATCTTAGAATTTCTTCTAACATATAATTAATTTTTCATGCCTCCCACAGGAAGATAGGGAGGAATTTTGAGTACTCCAGTAATAGGCGGAAAATCCTGCTGTTTGTGGGAAATTTGGCCCAAATAAGATACTAAAAAGTATTTGCGCAGCTTACCTCTTCATCTCTTACTAACTGGGCAAGAATTTCCTACAGACCTGGCAGTGTTGAATGAAAGATGAATATTGAGCCCACGGCCTGCCTTGCTTACAAGAGAGTCAAATGAGTAATATGAACTCCTACCCTCATTAAAGCAGAATCTCTCGACTTAGTTTTTTTGTGTGTTTGTATCGTTGCCCTTTGATGGTTCGGTTTTGTTTTCCAGATCGTACTTAGACATGTCCAAAGTGATCATCTTCAGCTACCTCTTCTGGTTTGTCCTCACAATCATCTTCATCACGGGGACAACCAGGATCAGCATCTTTTGCATGGGTTACTTGGTGGCCTGCTTCTATTTCCTGCTCTTTGGGGGTGATTTGCTGCTGAAACCCATCAGGAGCATCCTGCGCTATTGGGACTGGCTGATTGCATACAACGTTTTTGTGATTACGATGAAAAACATATTATCAGTAAGTGCCTCCCACTGTATAACACATTTGTGGTTTCAGCACAAGAGTAAACAATCCATTCAGTGGTTATTAAAAGCCCAATTGCCAGTCACCCTGCTCTCTTAAAAGCCCCAAATGAGATGCTGCAAGGTCAGCATCTCAAGGTCACATGACAAGAGGATGTGTATTTGCATCCTAAAATGTACTTTTCAGTTAAAATCCCCTTTCTTCTGAGGGATAATTTATCACCATTCACACTTTGTGCTACAAAATGGCTCTTTCATGAGCTGAATTAGTCACTGAATCTCTTCCAAAGGCATATCATGTTGGCTTGCCTAGAAAGCATTATGGAAGCACAAAATAAAATGAGCGTAGTTCTCTGTAACACTGTAGGGTGGCGAATGAGGCAGAATGGGCTGTTAAATGCACATTTCATGTACCCATGAGATGTAAACACACAGGAGAATGCAACTTTGTGGTTACCTCTGGGCAGAAGGGTCCTGATTAGGGCTCAGCTAAGCCAGTAGAGGGTTGAGGCAAAACAGATGTCCTTCCTCTGCAAAATTTAGCTGCTCTGCTATTGAATATCCATGTTTCAGGGTACAACTTGTCCCTTGGCCTGGTAGGTAACTTAGACTGCCCGCTAGTAATCCTAGAATTGCATCAAATATTTTGGCTCACAGAACAGCTTTTAAGTTACTTACTTGTTTCACGAAATTAAACGGCAACCTTGCACGAGCTGAATGAGTTAATACATCTCTAGCTGGCCTAAGTCAAAGCGAATCCTTGTGTCCACTACTCTCTAGTAGTGATAGTGCATTAGAGGAGGCGTGATGTGAGAATTTCCTGCTTCTCACCTTCCTGGCTACTTAAAGATGAGCTCGAGAGGCAAGTCTATGAAGGCATTTAAATTTTTTTTGACAGATGTACTGCTGTGTTTAAAGGTCTTGGAAAGCCAAGTGTAGGTTGCCATGAATATGTATTCAAGTCATTTACTTTGTCTAAGACCACTGAAATTTTGTCTAAGACCAGTTGATAGTAAAAGTGACTTTTATGCAACAATTTTACCCCACTGATCTTTATTTACGTTTGGGGTAGTATTGAAAGGTCTTGGAGAGGGTACGAGACAGGACTACAGAGTAACATTTTATTTAATAGCCAGTGTGATGGTGAGGGATCTGTTGCCAGAGGCCAATTCTTACAACCAGTCCTGAAAATGGTGTAGCTGCAAAGTCCATTCATTCATTCATTCATTCATTCTGTAAACCTATATTGCAGACTTGTTCTTTGCTAGACATTACTTTTCTCTTGAAGAACTAGGTACAGTATTGCCTTCAAGTTTTACCCTAATGAACTCACACTCTAAAAGGGAAAACAAACCTACTTATTAGTTATTATAATTTGGTCTGTTAATGCTAATTATCACAACATCTTCGGAAAACCAGAACAAGAAAAAGGAGTGACTCATACCTTGCTTAAGTAAGTTGGGAGCTGACTTTCCAGACGCGATGCCATTTGAACCTGTCAGAGACTTGAAAACCAGAATCAAGGGTGTCCAGGGAGGCAAAGGGAGGAGGAGATTCCCAACCTAGAGAACCCAAATGAAAGCATGACCATGGAGGACAGGTATCGTCACATGGAAAGCATGTTCCAATGGGCAGGGCAACTCAAGCTGGGTAACTGCCAGTTTGGAAGCAAATTCTAATGACATTTTCCTACCTCACATATCCCCAGGAAATACACACAATTCAGTCATCACCTTTACGTTTTGGCTGGCAATGATTGTTTGTTTACACTCCTTCCCCCTCAAGATGTGAACTTAACATGCATCATTGTTATGAGACAACTACATGCCAATCAACAAAGAATAATCCTTTTCCCAGAGAATTGGCCAAAAAAGGCTCAGAATACATACTCTTTTCTTATTCTAAGAACCGAACAATGCAGCTGATGTTTGTGATGATCTTCTGACAAACAGCATAGGTGTAATTTGTCCGATCTTGTGGGAAAGTGACTGTACCAAAATCAAAGTCTTGGGGGTCATTGCTCACCCATTTGATATCACAGAGTTCATCTTGTTCCTGCAATAGTCCAAGATTTTCTCCGTGAAAAGACAGAGGCTTCTAAGTGCTAAAATCATCACACTAAAGACTCTTCCTTTACTCATGGGATTTATCTTCCCCCAGGCAACTATGGTACTTCTAAAGCATCAAATGCATTGCCCCATGGTGACTGAAATTTATGTACTACAGGTTACCTCTGGAATCATTAGCACAGAGACTTCATGAATTCTTGCACATACGGAGATCACAAGACACCAACCTCTTTTTCTGGATGCAGGGTTTCACAGTTTGCCACTCCCATTTGTTTTTCAGATAGGAGCGTGTGGATACATTGAAAAATTGGTTCAAAATAGTTGCTGGTTGATCCAAGCGTTCAGCCTGGCCTGTACAGTCAAAGGCTATAAAATGCGTAAGTATGAAAAGCAAATTTGGAAGTGGGAGGGCAGGGAAGGAAGAACAGTTGTATTGTTCTAATGTTAAAATCGGGCCAAAGGGGCACCTGGGTGGCTCCACTGAGCTTTCAACTCTTGATTTCGGCTCAGGTCATGATCCCAGGATTGAGCCCTATGTACTTAAGATTCTTTCTCTCCTTCTGCCTCTCTCACCACTTGTGTTCTCTCTCTCTCTCTCTCTCTCTCTCTCTCTCTCTCTCTCTCTCCCTCTCTCTCTCTCTCTCTCTCAAATAAATAAAATGAGGGGCGCCTGGGTGGCTGAGTTGGTTAAGTGTCCAACTTCAGCTCAGGTCATGATCTCACGGTTCGTGACTTTGAGCCTCAGGTTAGGCTCTGTGCTGACAGCCCAGAGCCTGGAGCCTACTTCAGATCCTGGGTCTCCCTCTCTCTCTGCCCCTCCCCGACTTGCATGCACATGCATACACATTCTCTCTCTCTCTCTCTCTCTCTCTCTCAAAAATAAACACTAAAAAAAACTTATTTTAAATAAAGTAAATAAAATGAAAAAACAAAACAAAACAGAAAAAAAGAGGTCAATTCCCTTTCTAGGTGGAGGCTATAGGACTGTAGTACATTATGACTCTATTGTCCATACCATGAAGTGCCCCTATTCTAGACATGTTTAGTCATGTTCTGGAAATGTACAAGACCTGGCAGGTCTGGGGATTGTATGTGGCCTGTAATAATTCCCCAAACTTCTTTGAGTTACATTAGGAAGGGTTACAGAAGTCCATCGACCTGTGGTGTTTGCAGCTAGATTCTTGGGTAGTCAGAGTACCTCTGACTTCCAGATTTTTCTCTCCTCAGGAAGCTCAGGGAACCTCAAACTCAGGAAGGCAACTAGAAGAACCTCCACAGTTTCTGCAGTTAGACTCCCAGGGCAGAGGCAGAAGTTTCCATTCCCATCCTCTGCCTTTTGTACCAGAACCCAGGACAAAACCACACTTGGTCCTCCATGGTGCCCGAAATGGGGGCTACTTGACCACGGCACTCTCTCCACTGTGGCTTCCAATCCAGGCCACCCTTTGCCCAGGATGAAGAGCAACTGGGAATTTGTTTTGATTTAGGATAAGATATCTGTTGATAACCTCTTTTTCTAACAGACCATACTGTGTTAACTGCTCTTCTGGTTATACTCGGATTACCATTCCCAGAATAGCCGGGGCTTTTTGTTTTTTTTTTTTTCTGTTTGTTTATTTGTTCATATCAGAGCATTGCCTCTGGCATTGGGACATAGAGACATTATTTCCCCATGGCCCTTGTTCAGGGAGAAAGAAACCTCTCTCTCCCAGAGAGAGAAGTCCTGAGGAGGCACCCTTGGTGAAGAGTCCTGTCTGTGCCTTACACTGTTACTTGTGGTCAGTCTTACAAATCAATGTTGACATTGGAGTTGAAATGTGTATCTTTGCTTGTAAATAAATCCATCCATAAGTGAGTCCATGCATCAGAATATTGTTCTGAGGCCTGTGGGATTTCCCAAGCCTGATTATGCCACAGATATTATAAAATAACAATGAAAACGGATGCTAATTTTAATTTGTTTTTTTTTTTCTACTTTATGACCCCAGCTGATGATGATTCCTCATGTAAACTCCCCAGTGGTGAAGCAGGAATTATTTGGGACAGCATATGTTTTGCCTTCCTCCTACTGCAGAGAAGAGTTTTCATGAGTTACTATTTCCTACATGTTGTGGCTGATATAAAAGCTTCACAGATCCTGGCATCAAGGTGGGTCAGGCCATGAAATCAAGTGGTTTCTCTTTAAGTATCTGTCTAGAAGTAATATTGCACTGTGCTCTTGTCTGAGCTTGCCTGTAGAACCTGCAATAGGTTAAGAAACCCCTTCTGGAGAAACCAATCCAAGAAGGGTTTAGCACAAGGCCTTGAAAACCTAAACTAGAAGAGTAACAAGAAAGTCTTTGGTACCAAGTCACCCTTACAAAGATCTGGGATGCTACGAGAGGTCAAACACAGACTGGTCATGTAGAGCCCTCTGGGCACAGACCACCTCACTGGACGTCGCTCATTTTGGCCTCAGGAAGAGCAGTAACACAGACCATGTTGATCTCTATAGAGACTAGTCCACATTCCCCCTCTCTGGCTCTGTCCTAAAAACAGAGAAAAGCACACTTACGTATTATTTCTCAGATCTTAGGTTGAGAAGGAGTGTGATAGATACTGAAGCTCATTCTAAACCTTCCTATCCATCTTTTCTTATCTTTTCCTTCCTTTCAACCTCTTTTCCCCAACAACCTGATTTTCTCTTTTAACAAGAGGTCACCGGGCCACACTACCTTCTTCTTCCTAGACTCCACCCTTCTTCCAGTTTTTGCCCCAATCTTGTAGCTTTAAGGGGAAAGACTGGGAAGAAAGCTAGGTATTAAAGGCAATGCCTAGACAGCTCTGCCCATGTCAGAGACACCAGCCTTGCTGATTCCGTCAGACCCATGGTGCTAAATAATCTGATAATCATCAGCTTGTCTCATATGGAATTTCCAGAATCTATCATTTTGATTTGTGTTTTAGATTAACACACTTCTGTTTATACCACCAGTGCTCTTAGAGACTATTCCTTCCCTCTTCCAGGATAAACAAAATGTTTATTTCAGAAGCCATTTATAGGGAAGCAGTTCCTGGCCTTTGTTCACTAACTTGGAGCCCAGTAGAAAGAATTTTCAGTAGGGGACCTACATTTACTCTAAGGAGCTTTGTGCCACCATGGGCCCTGACTATGTACATGAACAGGGACTTCAGTTTCTGCACAATATTGGCCCTAGAATTTACCATTGTAATTGTTTTTCTAACACCCAGCATATCAGTTTCATTAGAGCACAATGTCTTGTCCTTTTTTATTTCTTTTTGTTTCTTTTTCTTTTGGGGGGCTCATCCAAGATATTTTATCCTAATAGAAATTTTATTTACTTGTAGAGCAACTGGTATTTGTGCTGATAAATACGTCTTTTTTTTTTTTTTTTTTTTTTTTTTTTTTTTTTTGGCTTTTCTTAAACATTTGGTCCTTAGACATCCAGATCATAACAGTAAGCCGGTATTTTTCCCTCAAAGTTATCACAGTTATTTAGAAAGCCATATTCCTCATGTTATAGAAACTGATGGCTTTGGTTCAGAGTACAGCTCGTGCTTGTTCAAGAAGAGCTATGTCTTAACAAGCGTTGAATTCACAACGGAATTTCCAAAGAAAAGATATTCATTCATTTATTGATTTGTCCACAGCCTACTGTGTTACAAGGAGGCAGATGGTTGGCCTTCCCCTCACAGAGCTTATAGCCTTGTGGGGAGAAGGACATATCAACAGGCAGTCACAATGCCATGTGACTAGTGTGATGGTAGGAGAGAAGCCGTGGGGATTATATCAAGGGTACATAAACACCTGTAAATGGCAGGAACCACGGCAGCCTTCCATTCTAAGCTGCACCCTGAGGGATGAACAGGAGGTAGAGGAGGAAGGCCGGGGACACAGCCCAAGTGAAGTTACCAGGGGAAGTTTTCATGAAGAAACCCTGAGAAGCTCAGCGTGGTTGAAAAACAGAAATTTGAAGGTGAAGGTAATGATGACAAATAAGCTGGAGAGATAGGGAGGCGTCCGATTAGCAGGGGCCTGAGAAACCATGTTTATGACTTTAAAAGTAATACCACAGATAATAAGAAGCAAAGGAATGGTGTGGCCTCAATGATGTTTTAGGAGCTCACTCTGCTTGTGGCGTGTACTCAGGACCATGGGCAAAGGGACCGGTTAGGTGGCTTCTCTGCTGATCCAGAAGAGAGACAATGGCTCAGACCAGGATGGGATAAACTAGGAAGATATTTAAGAGTAAAATCGGCACAACTGGAAAATTGGAAGGAAGGGAGGTGCAGCTGGAAAGGAGAGGGTAGAGGATGATATGCCCAGGGTTCTGGTTGAAGCAAATGGTGGTACCATTCCCCAATGTAGAGATGCCAAGAAGCTCGAGACTTGGGAGAACACTGACCACAGACCTGAGTTGTTGGGTTGGTGAGCTTGTAAAACCAAACCCATTGGCAAGTCCAGTGGGAGGACAGGTATGGAGGTGGGAGTAGACTCGAGGGGCCTCATGACCCATATGGGATTAGAGCAGGTGAGTGGTTGGAGGGAATGTGAATGAGAAGAGGGCCCTGGGGAGCATCCACACTTAAGAGATGGGCAGAGAAGACCAGCAACTCTGATCCAGAAAGGAGAAAGGGAAGCTAAGGGAGCATGGTGCCCTTGGAGCCCGAGAAAGGCTGTTTCAAAACAGACGTTCAGCAGACAGAATGTACAAACACAAGACTGAAAATTGAACACGGAAATTGGTGACCTCAACACCTGGGCACCAGAGCCAAACACGGGAGAGCTGAGGTTGAAGGGAAAGGCTTAGGGACAGTGACTGGGAGATATTCATGCACAGACATAGAAGACTATGAGTGTGTGTGGGTTTTTATTTGCTAAGATTAGCAGGATGTGAGCATGTTGGCATGCTTGTGAGGAGGACTCAGTGGCAGTGAGAAGGCTGAGAATGCAGAAACGGAGCAATAAGGGAAGGATGGAGCCACTCTGGCTGCAGGGATGGGAAGGGACTTGTGCACAGGCAGACCGTAGGCGACAGTGTCACCTTTCTCACTGTCACTGCAGGAAAGAGTTTCCGCAGGCTAGGTGGGAGGCAGCTGAGCAAACTATTGCCTCATGACTTACGTTCTCTCGGGAAGTAGGAAACAAGGAGTGAAGAGCCCTTGACAGAAGTCTAGATTCGAGAAAAGTAGAAGGGGTTTTAAATAGCTGCTGTAGGGAAGAATTCCGAGGGCGCATGAGGAGTCGGCAGATAACGTGCCCGGTCACGCCTGTCCTGCACCTCTGACCACAGCCCCAGCACAGGGCTGGCACACCACTGGGTTCCTGCTGACTTGGGATTTACCAAGCGGATATGATCAGATGACAGTGGAACCAGAGTTGAAGATATTAAGAGAGGTTGATGAAGTAGATCTAGGAGGACCCAAAGTTGGCTTGAGAAGTGAGAACAGGCAGAGGGATTGGAAGGAGGGAAGCAGAGAGGCAAAGAGGCAGGAGACAGAACGTGCCAGTGATGGAGCTTGAACTCCAGCTTCGCCTATTTCCTTAGCCCAACTCACTCCATACCTGCTTCTGCTCATTGAGTAGGAAAGTAATCTGAACTCACTCTTCCTTGCAAATGGTCCCTCATGGGGCAACTATGTATAATAAGGTCAGGTGAGTAATGCTTCGCTAAGATACGAGGTTCAGTGGGACAGGTTTGAAGGGATGCATTCTTTTCAATGTCTTGAAAAACACAAACCATTTTTTGTTTTGTTTTGTTTTGTTTTGTTTTGTTTTACTGACCTTCTGTGGCTGTGAGCAGGCCCACTCCCTCCCGCGGGTGGCTGTGCCATGTTCATCCACTGGGAAGGGGCCTCTGCACGGGCTCTTGAGACTCCCACTGCCAGCCAGAAGAATCCAGTTAATGACCTAAAAAGAAATGTTTTCTAATCCTCATAATCATTTTCAGGGGAAGGTAAGTAAAAAGGATAGAAATACTGATTTTTTTCTCTATTTCTGATTTTTCTCTAGAGGGGCTGAACTTTTCCAGGCCACAATTGTAAAGGCCGTAAAGGCAAGAATTGAGGAAGAGAAAAAATCAATGGATCAACTGAAGAGGCAGTAAGGAGGCTTTATTTCACTCTTCTCCTTTCCTTTTAATTTTGGTTTGCCTGATCCTGTTGGGCTGGCTCTCCACTCCCAGGTACCCTTAATCCCCTGAAAAATCCATTTGTGTTAACTTTTACAACTTCTGGGTATTTGCTCTGTGTCATGGCAGTAGCTTATGCTCACTGGACTGAAAATGGAAGTAATTTAAAAGAAAGATGGCTGCAGCATGGTAGAAAGGGGAGCCATGTTGGATAAGACCAATGTCAAGTCTTGGTTCAGCTGCTTACTCTGGCGCCATGAGCACATCGTTCAGATTCTCTGAATTTCAACTTCTTGTTGAAATTAGGGCTCACAATCATATCTGGGTTTTTATAAAGATGAAAAGAGTTCATGAATGAGACAGGGCCTTTGCCAGTACCATTGAGGTGGAACAAATGTTCATTATATCTGTGGATTAAAGGAATAAATGCAGAGTGCTAGCTTTGGAAGGATCTCTAAAGATAGTATGATACAGTCTCTTTGGGAAGAAACTGTTGACCCATGACATTAGATGACTTAAAATCCCCAACAAACTAGAGGCAGTACTAGAAATACAACCCCCGTTTCCCTGTGTTCGCTTCAAGAGTTTGTTTTCTGCCGCAGCGTTCTGGGGAAGTCGAGTAAGGGACTGACTCCACTCAAGAGCTTTGAGAATTTCTTTTTAAAATTAATTAGTTAATTTTTAAATGATCCCTTGAAAAGAATTTTCTTGGAGTGAAATTTTCAGCAGTAAATGTCACTTCCGAGGATCAGTAGCTCTTCATTTGAGGGGCAGGTTTAAGAGCTGATGGCCACGGAATTCAAAACCTAGCCACTTTCTCCAGGAAAGTGGAGACTCCATCAGCCCGCCAGGAAAATCCCCCAAGTTTGCTGAGACTACTTAATTCCCTTATGACCTCATTTCCCAGCTCCTTTCCCCATGCAAAAATGTTTGCTAGCATAACTTACACCATCCCATTGCCTGGCTTATTCCACAATTGACGATATGAGTTACATAAAGTGTCATATAAACAGTTATGGTATAACTGTTGCCCTTGTGGTCTCTAGTCATCAGGTCAGAGAAATAATAAATTTGGACCCACATGTAGAATGAGTTCCTAATTACCCATAGGGGAAACCTGTTACTATCATTCACTTCACTGAATTTTTCCATTTGCTTTAAGAATGCACCCTCTTAAGTGACAGAAAGTCAGAATATAAAAGAAGGTAGGTAATGATCATTGCCAAAGAGAAGCTAAAAGTGCTGTATAAGTTGCAGGAAGCAGAAATCAGCTTAAAAACTTGAGCAACGTATCCAGAATTTTAAGAAACTTAAGAACTGAAACACCGCAGGAGGACAGGTCTGGGAAACAGAGTCCAGTACTGCAGTTTCTGAATAGTTGGACTTCCCAATTAAGCAGACAAAATAAAAGGCTCTAACTCAGTAATTAAAGATGCAATAATACATTTTTCCAGAACCAATAGGAGATTAGATTTGAGATAGAGAAGAGTCACGTGGTCTGATAGAATACTTAAGAGCATCTGAAGAGCAACATGCTTTTTACAAAATAGTCCTCACACTTACATACCTTTTCATTTGATTTTCACAACTATGTGAGATACACAGGTATCAATTTTTAAAAATTGCAAAATCTGGAAGAATAAAGGACTTCCATTTCATCATCTAGTGTGTTCAAAATGCCTTTGGTACAAGGTGTAGGTGGACATAAAGTACTGTGTACCAAACTTTAGCATAACTGTGATCATATTATTAAGACCAGCATCTATGTAGAGCAAAATAACAGGGAGATGTGGGGAGACACAGCTATATACATACATACATGTATACATACATATACATATATATGTGTGTGTAGACATGTATATATTGTCCCCCAAGAAGATGCTTGTTGCCAATAAAAAAAAAAACCATTCAAAAGTCCCAAATATTGACCACTTTGTGATTTTACCCACATACATACAAGTGGAAACCCAAACTGATCATGTGGTAACTGTGGGTGTGTTCTTGGCATTGCTGCTGCTACTTTATCTTATAGGATGGATCGCATCAAAGCCAGGCAACAGAAATACAAAAAGGGTAAGGAGAGGATGCTGAGCTTGACCCAGGAATCAGGGGAAGGCCAAGACATCCAAAAACTCTCTGAAGAGGATGACGAAAGTATGTCGAGACGTTTCCCTCTTGTTCAAGTAGCTTGGCATTGAATAATAGCATGATAAGGGCTAGGGCTGTAAAATAACATTACTTTTACTCTGCCGATATTATGCATGTTTGTATTTTTTTTTTAACTCAGCAAGTTTTACCTTCTGATTGTGAGTGGGATACATGTATTTATTTCACAAAGTACATATGTAATGACTCCGTGACTTTATGAGTATCTCTTCTTCAGCACAATGACTTTAATCAACACATAGCCTAGCTTCTGTCTCACAGAGATGTGTTTCTGAAGAAAATGAGAATGAATTTGCTTAATTTATTCCTTTAGGGAAAATATTTTAGATATTTTAGGTACACAGTCTATTGTTGTCTTTGATTTCTATAAATGTTATACAAAAATGAAATATGTATGCATATTTTATGTGGTATCTGAATAATGGTAGTTAAGTATCCTTCAATTATTGTCTGTTCCAATGAAGTCTAAAATGAAATATACATTATGATATCTGTAGTATATCTGCAGATTTACTATATCCAATTAAGTTTAAAAGGTCTTCTAATAGAAGTTTGCATGCTTTTCTATTTGAAGGGGAATGGCAAAATAATACATGGTGTTTTCTAATATATAGCACCTATTTAATAACCAATAAATTTGTGTTTTTCCAACCATGCATGACAATAATCACAAGGAAACTCCTGGTTATTGGAATATATGCATCTTCACAAATTATCTGCCACTATATTGTTTTATAAAGTTTAGGTGATGCTTCTTTTCTGTTAATTCACCGGAAAATTCAATGTGCGATGCCTTTTTGAGAGCTAACCTTCTTTTTTATATTTCTTTATATGCACTCTATTACTAAAAAGAAAGCAAAAATGTGGCATAATGTTCATAGAATGCTTAGTATTTGCCTTGTGAAATCGCCTGCTCATGCGTGTAAACATTTCAGATTTGATATAGTTTCTTTCCCTGACGTCTGATGTACTTTTGCAACTTACCTAGATTTTGACATTTGAGTTGTTAAAGCGTGGTTTTCAAAATTTGTTTTCTCACTTCATAAGAATTAATATTTGGACATATTTTATTTTAGGAGAAGCAGACAAACAGAAAGCCAAGGGCAAAAAAAAGCAGTGGTGGCGGCCTTGGGTTGATCATGCTTCCAGTAGGTTTTCTTGATCCTCTTACAATTTCATCGATTCTAACCCTTATATCCTTGACCAGAATTCAGGCGTCCCCATGACCTGTGTGTATCCTTCAATTATTGCATGGGCATGGTTTGATCCTTGTGACTTGATAGGGGGTCAGAGTGTAGGAAAATTTTCATGGAAATGGGTCTCTGGGCCCTGGTGATGGAACCTTCCAGAGAAATCAGCTGATTACCATGCTGTCTGAAGAAAGCCCCGCATGTGGCTGACACATGCCTGAGCATCCTAGAGGCTCAGAAAGTGAAGAATTGCTACCTTTTTATCTAATTCTGAGGTCCAGAGCTCTGCTGATACGTATTTGTCTTGTAACTGAAAACCCTTATTGAACATGAGTTTTGGCTCCCCCTGGGAGGATACTCATTAAGTTCAAAGTGTTTGTGACCCTCTTTGTAAGGCACTAGGCATGGATGATGATGAGTCTCTCCTCCCCCTTCTTCCCAGAGCTTTGATTTTATTTGCATGTAAGGTCTTTTGGCAATTTATTGAATATAAAGGTGAGGCTAACTTAAAATGTGTTCACTTTCTCATTCTGCCTCTGCCCCAGTTTCAAAAGGCTCTCGTACTACATTCCACATTCGAAGCCTAGCATGTGGCGTGGCTGTAGAGCCACCAGCCATGACCAGTTCAGAGCAGAGGTGGACAACAGTTTTTGAAAAGCAGAGCTTCATGGCCACATAGAATTAAAGTTTCCCTCCTGATCATTAAAAGAAATGAGGGGGGTGGCGCCTGGGTGGCTCAGTTGGTTAAGCATCCTCCGACTGTTGATTTCAGCTCAGGTCATGATCTTAGTCGTGGTCATGATTTCACAGTCGTGGGATCGAGCCCTGTGTCAGACTCAGTGCAGAATGGGGAGCCTGCTTGGGATTCTGTCCCTCCCTCTCTCTCTGCCCCTCCCCTGCTATTGATCTCTCTTCCTCTCTCTCTCAAAATAAATAAACTTTAAAAACAGGAAAAAAGGGATGAGGAATTATGGAACTCAGTGGCTATATTTGTTCTGCTTAGCAAAGGAAATATCACTCACGATTGGCCAGTGGACGGTCTTAGAATGGAATGATCCATTTCAGTCTGACCTTCCTTGCGTTTGTTCAAATATTGAATAATTATTCATTATGTTGCAAATTACTAATAATACCTTCAGGCCTTTATGCCTTATCCTGTGGCTTAATAACTTCAGCTAATGTGATCAGACAGGGACTATCACTGAGGCCCACAGTGTCGCACGATGGTGGGACAGACTCTACTGACGGGATCTTCAGAATCACTAGAAAATCAAGTTGATCAGAATGTTTTGCCATGCCTGATTCTTCGTGTCTCTGAGATATAGTGTTGGCTTCTCTCGCCCCAAAATTAACTTTCTAAAATCAGCAAGCCGATTTAAGGAAGTATTAATTCAAAATTTGCTCAACCTGCCTGAATGATACTAAATTTAATCCCAAACATTGAATTTATAGCATTATGTGAGGGGAAAAAAAAAAAAACATGACTTTCAATGAGTTTTGTTTCACCTGCTGCCAAGTCAAAAGACAAAGATTCACATCGAAATTCTGTGTGACTCTTGAATCTTTTGTTCATTGGCATGTTCGTCATGCTAACGATCCAGTAATGCAGCACACTGTAAGCCTGTTTCTATCAAGTCACAAGAAAACTGTGCTTATCTTTCTGTTTGTAAAGGGCCCTTTGCTAGTTTAGACAGACCTATCCATTTCGACATTGTGTCCTACTGAATGTTTTCTCTCTCACCTGGGGTAAATTCCCGTTGCAATTGTAGTTGTCTTTCCTTTTCTCGTCTAAACATTGAATTTTGGAAGGAATTGGATATGGTCTTCGATAATCATCTTACAAGTTGGTAATAACTGAAAAAGAACTGCTTATGAAGGTTATTGACTTTAGTTTTCTGATTCATTTCACCCTCATTATATCGAGTTCTTGAAGACTGGTATTAAATTAAATGTGCCTTGTTACAACACCTCTTGGTGCAATAATGCAGGAATGTGTGTAATTCATGGTTTGGAATCAGATTCTGACCGTGGTGTTAAAATTTTTCCGCAAAATACATTTCCTTTTACCAGCTCATGAGGAAAGGAAAGGAATGACTCTGTGGATTATTTCTTAGGCCATGAGTTCCAAAAGTTATCTTTAGATCTGGAAGCACTTTATTAAAAGCCCTTATTTCAATCTCTTGAGTCACTGGGCTTTTGCCTAGATGGTTCCTTACAGGTGCGGAGTGTGAGAATACATGTAGTTGAATACCCTTGTGTAAGTCTACAGATGATACAGTGATATGGCCAAGTTGTTCATAACACTGGCAAGCAGTCAAGATCTTAACATAGTCTGTAGGTGGCCAATCTTCCACTTCCATACCTATGTGCACACATGCGATTGCATTATTGCTGTTCAATGATACCTTCCATTCCAAGGTAGTATGCCTCCATGCCAATTCAGTACCTTCCTCTTGTTAAATATCTGAAACAGAGGTCCGGGCTTCTGGGGATACAGGTAGTAGGTTTTAAAAGTTATTTTCGCACTCAGTTCAGCAATCACATCAATATCCACATGTTTCTGGACACAGGCTGGGGGCAGGATCGCTCTCTGAACTAACAAATGTGTATGTAAGAGCTTCTCTCCTTATTATTAGCAGATAGCACCGAAGAAAACACTCTCTGTTGTTTTCGTACTTTTATCTCAGTAACATTTCATAAACGAATAGGGGATTTTCCTAAGCATTTCCTTCTTTGTTTTAACGTGTCAATTCTACTTTCGCATACAAATTGATAGTTTGTTTTTTTAAAATGATCAAATCGATGTTGTGACTGCTTGAGAAGAAAACCGTTTGGGCTCACTGTGTCCACACGAGTAAAAGTCACAGAAGGTATGATTGAATACAGTTGAAGCTATTGTTGATTTTAGAGCCTATAATGAGGGTAAAATGCTCAATCCTGTAATACTCTGTTTTTTACCAAATGACCATGTGACATAGAGTCCATGTAACTTTCCTGCAAATGTCTGAGCTTACTTGAAGGCATTACTTTAATGGTCTTCCTCACTGTCAAACGTAATGCTGTGACTTTGGTTTGTTCTTGCTTATTCTTACCTTCTGTTGTATTGCATTTATTCCCTCAGGCCTGGACCCAGTACTCTGGGCCTGGTTCTTTCTTCAAAATAAAAATAACAAACTACAGTGCTTCTGTTCAAGGATATAAGGCCCAATTCATTCCGTGTGCAACTTCATGGATGGAGGCTTCAGATACGGTCTGAAACCGTTGGGCAAAATTACCTCCTTCTGGCCATGTTTAGTGATGGTCACGCAACTAGTTTTAAACAAGCCAAGGTGTTCCATTACCTTACAACTCACGAATCCAAAAGATCATGGAAGACATCATGTTATGTCGTCCAAAAGACACCTCAGCATTTGAAAACTTGAATGTACCTTGAAAGTGCTACTATGTTTTTCCCCCGCAATGATGGTACAGTTCTTGTAGCATCGGCAATACGTACACTGGGTCTCTTTTCTCTGATAAACTTAACGTAACGCTCAAGCCGACAAAGATGGGATTCTCAAATTTCTTTAAGTCTCTGGACATTTCAGCTTCCTCTGCTCCTTTTAACACAGCAATATGTTCTTGCAGGGAGAAGATCAGGCAAGGCAAGGCACGGACTATCCAGACTGTCTGTGCTTTGTGTCTTCTGGTCAGTATGGTTCTCCTCACATTTCAGTGAGCAGCTGGAGTTCCTTGTTGACCAGAAGCCCAACAGCGCTAAACCATATCGGCCATGTCTGCCGTGCCTCAGTCTGTCCTGTGCTACTTGTAGAAACAGCCAGAGTGGTGGTGGTGGTGCTGTTTTTGTAGTTGGTTTTTTTGTTTTGTTTTGTTTTTTTAATGTTACCTGCCCATTTCCTCCTTGTGGCAACGCGTGTGTGTGTTGTGGGGGGGGGGGGGGGG